GGACTTAGCATTTCACCATAACATCACCCCAGTAACTACCTACGTTAATGGCGACTTCCCCAATAGCAATCACAGAACGGTATTCTGTTGTCTATGCATCCGAACACTAAAGGCGGATGGTAAGCAAGCTTTACGAGTTACTGAATATCGCAGTTATAGGGGTTCGGACTGGAAACTGCTCACACAGCTTCTAAGGCTTCCCCCTTGGGGAGACTGTTTTACCACTGACTCACTAACAACCACGGTATCCCCTTTTCACTGGAGTGTCAAAACGTGTCTGGATGCTGCAGCTTCTGTGAAAATAGTGAAACTATGTCGCCATTCAGAATGCATTCCACTCGTGTACCGCAGAACGCTCAGGCGACTGTCGAAAGTGTACCACTCCACTAGGGATTTCTCCTCGCTGCACGCGATCCATGATATCCTGGAATCACTCAAAGGCTTACGTGCACAAAAAGCCTGAAATGATGAGTTATAATCACTTAGAACTGGCTGCAAGGTATGCAGTCTAATATCACTTCAAAAAAACCCCTTCAAACAACGAGGGATATACAATACCTGCTTCATAACGGGGTAGTCTACAGCAACTTAGTCACTATTTGTGAACTATTTAGTGACTGGTTTGGGGATTTCAGTCGTCAGACGCATACTCCCGCCGGCAGCATGCCACTGTCCAGCGATCAGCCGGCGACTGTGGAATTTACTTGCAAAAATATAGCTGAAGCCATCAAAAGGCTGCGACCTACAAAGGAATGGGAGTAGATGGCCTCGATTCAGTGGCTCTAAGGAATAGTGGACGGGACCTCCCCTTGATTCTGCCTAAGTTGTCCACTCTTTCGATGGAAAATGAGACGTATCCCTCTGAATGGAAAACTAGCTTTGTAATTCCACACTACAAATCTAGGGAAAAGGCTAGTATCAGCAACTAAAGGCCCATCAGTGTAACCCCAGTCCCATCGCAAACTGTAGAGAAAGTTGTAAAAGACAGTGCGTCCGAATACCTGCTGCAGAAGATTTTATGACAAAGTCTCAGCACGCCTTTACGAAGAACAGGTCATGCATTACGTGTCATTTTGACTTTTTCGACCTCATTATCAGTAGTCATGAGGGACGCAAAATAGTCCTTGTACTGTACTTCAAAATATTCACGACATTCGACATGGTTTCGCACAATATACTATTCGAAAAGTTAAATGCTTTAGGTATTATCAGCCCTTTGTAGGCCGGCTAAAATCATTTCTCAGTGATCGCACCAGAGCAACAAAAATCAATCCAGCTCTGTCTACTATATGATACATCACAAGTTGGCCTGTGTCAGGTGGCGTTCTCGGGTTTCCTATGTTTAATATCCACAATAACAGTGTGTGCAACTGTTTCGCCGCAGGTGACGCCCTTCTTAATGCCAACGACCTAAAAGTTGTTTACTCTTGTTGTAGCCATGAGCTAGGTGATACTATGCCTGCCATTTGACATGAACCAGAAAAGCTTTCTTCTTGGTGCGCTGATACCCTTCTACAGTTCGACATCAACAAATGCGGATGGATCTGTATTGGTTACAGTAACCTTGACTTGATACTTGTAGTATCTGTACAACTGTTACCAAAACTTAGTTTTCTATGTGACCTGGGGCCCAGATATTCCAGTGACTTGAATTTCTCTGAGCAGGTAGCGTGCAGCGAAACTAAGTCACGCAGACTTCTAGGATGCGTCATTCGTGACTTTTATGGTATTGAATCAAGGGGCCAGCTCTACAAAGTGTGCATCTGTCCAATTCTAGAATACTGCTCACTTGTCATAGGCAGCTTTCAAATAGACGACAAACTGAAAATCGAAGGGGTACAACGCCGCTTTACATTAAGAGTACTAGGAGCTGACTTCAAGCTTGACTACGCCTCCAGATGCAATATGCTGGGACTAGAACCTCTCCGGAAGGGGCGACTTTGAATGAATCTTATACTTTACTGCAAAATACTTTGCAGGCGAATGCACTCGTGCAGTCCGGGATCTGAAATAGTTGTAGCATCTATTTACAATATACGTAATCACAAACAATCAGCCAAAACTGAGTGTTGTAAGACCAATGTGCCAGGTAATTTCTTTCTCAATAAGTTCTCTCACATATTGAATGGACTTTCTGGGGGAGATATGTGCTGCAAATTCATAGTCTTTCGCTCCTCACTTAATAAGCTCCTTACAGATGATGAGTCTATCACTCATTTGGTCACTATATATAAGTTCTGGGCTAATGAACACATACTGGGACCCCTGAACGTGTAAACTAAGGCTATCACCAGTTCCAAGTACTTTCTCCTCAATGGGCCCTAACATTCACTGGACTACAACTTCATAATTATCAAAACTTAGGATTAACTCATCATAAAAGTGACCAGCAAAGTCCAACATTTACCGACTGCAGGGCCGTCACGGCCCGTGAAAACGAAGGACAAGATGTTTGGAAGTCCATCTGGCGCATTCAAACAAGTCTATTGCCTTTGGACGCTGCAGTTGGAGAAGTGAAGACATTTGGCTTTCAGTCATAATATTCATCAAGATTACGAATCTTTGTTGTGGAATGTTATTAACATGCATGAATTATACGGTCCTGGAATCGTCAATGAAGTACAATATGTAAACAATTCATAAACTTTTTATCATTATCTCAGGCAAAAAGTACAAACTGTTACATCGGAAGTATTGGCTTCAAGCTTTATTTTTCTCCAGGTAATACCTGTAGTGTCTGGATACAAACCTGGTTTTTTTGTTAATGAGAAGACGACACTTTCACTTGTCCAACTTGTAAATTTTCTGCACACTTATTCTGCTGGGATTTTCCATTATATGAGCATGCAGCACTTATATCTTCTAGTGACAACTGGTAGGAACTCACAATACCTTCCATGAAGATGAATTTAATTTGTATATAAACTTAGTCATACCTGTAAAAATGGTGTGTGCCTGTATATTCAGGAATAGATATTATTATTATTATTGAACAGGACGTTTGGCTGCTATTCCACTAGCTTGGGTTGTGTAGTCAGTAAATTACACATTAGCAAAGTACATATCACCTTGATGTAGGGTCAGTTTTACCCGTGCGTCTAAAAGTGGACACGTTATATCCAAAAACTTGTGCAAATTTTACGTAGGAAAATCACATGAGTCATTTTTATATGCATAAATTAAAGTGTACGTATAGCTCTAAGAAGATGCGAACTCTCTTCCCGATCTCCTCTTGTGT